CCACACACCGGTGACAATGCAATGTTTATGCAGACTTACGGCTATTACTATGAATAAGCATCAGCAGTTGCTTTAACAGATGTAAATTGGTTGTACGCCTAAGCTTCCAGAGGAAAAAAAATAATGAGTAGTGGATTTATTAATAAAGTATTGTAAGGAATTACCTGAGTAATAAAAACTATAAACGAATAATTTATGGAGGTCGTTGGAAGGCTCCGGTGATTACCGGCCTGAAATTTTCTTCAGCCCTGTCATAACTACTAGGCCTAAGTTATTAGTAAGATTGGTTGTTAAAAGCATGTATGGGCACAATAAATTACAAGATTCCTTCGCATACGATATATTGAGGTTCTAAGGGATGTCTTTAATAACAATTAATGGGGTACCTCAATCGCTATGACTTCTCCAAATTACGTTCAATTTTGGCTCAAATCGAGTAAACTGTTTTCAAACTATAAGCATGTTAAAAACAATACGTTCATAGATTCCCATTGTAATGTTTTTTTTGTTTTTTTTAAGTACTGAATACAATTTGAATCGAGTAGGTGCCAATTTAAATTTAGCGTCTACTTGATTCCAAAAAAATCGGATAAATGGTAGTAGGTGATTAGCCCATAACATGGATTTGACTACAAAAAGACAGAACCAAATTATATCCTTGATATCTGAAACGTAAACTTTTTTTTTTTTAACTCTTCGCATGAATAGAACTTCTCTTTGCCTATGATAGCGAAGAAGCAAAAAACTATATTTTATGATTAATCACATGAAAGAAAATTAAATTGTCAAGAAAGTTAAAAAGAAGGACTATATCTTCCAATTTGAGCATTTCCAAGTAGCTTTTTAAAGCTTCTACAACGTATGGCTGAGCGTTGTATATCTGCGCTTATAGTCCGAGAGCCCATGAGAATTATTTAAAGAGAGAGAGCTAATTATTTAAAATAAATCATATGAAAGGTACTTGAGAAGAAGACGCATATGAACATTAGGAACATTCGCGCCCCATATCAACGGGAATAAGACCTAAATGATATTAAAGACCACTTAATTATACACTGATACATCGAGTTTAATTAAAATCGTTAGAGCTGTTTTTGAGAAAACCTTAAAAATGTGTTTCACCTTTGATATGAAGAGGCACTTCCATATAGCCGATTTTAAGGAAAAAGTTGCTGTCACATCTAAGGCATATACCTATCTTTAATACGTAATATCAGCTTCGTACGACTTTTCGTCTTTGAGCTAGACTGCTAACATACACACACACAGATCATTTTTCAGGACTTGGTTATTTGGACTCGAGATACCCCAAAACGTGCATTTCCGTAGAAAACTCAGATTAAAAAATGTTCAGGATCGCAATACTTACCCTTACTATATATTACATATATACTTAAGCTAAAGTAAAAATCAGAGTCTGCCAGTCGGATTTTGCTATCTGTAAACGGCTGATTTAATAAATATAAGACAGGATCGAAAGCGAGAAAATCATCGCGGAAAAGTTTTTGTATTTTTAACTTGTATATATTTGTGGAGACATGTAAAACACAAAATTGCTATCCCGTGCCACCAAGGGAAATCGAATAATTTGTTCATTCTTTTTTTTTTTTTTTTTTTTCCTGTTCTTCCCTACCTCGCGCCTTTTAGGCTATACGGTATTTTCCCAGACCAGAGGGTGAGGGCGAGGAATTTAAAATCCCCTTCTGGCACCGGGACGCGAACTCGTGCAGTGCACACGCGTTAGCCCATTCTGCCACCCCGCCTTTTGTGTTCATTCAATGACTCTTTAGTGATTGGCGATTTATAGAATAACCACCTGTTCTGATTTATTCTAAGAATTATTCAGTATTTTTACAATATCCCATTTAACATAATAGACCAAAATACTAGTACAAATTGCTTTGCTAGGCCCTACTTTTAAACGCTGACTTGAAAGATCATAAAAGAAATAAAGACAAAATAATGCCCCGGATCATGGGATTTTATAAATTATTAAAATACATAAAATGTAAGAACAAACAAATGCCTTTAAGAAATAATAGTTAATATATCTATATAAGTTAATATATATACAGCCAGGAAAAAAGTGTAGTGGACTATTCTACTCCTAAATGCAATATCTTTAAAGAGGAGACATTAATAAATATACCAAACCTAATGGACTGTATCTTTGTTAATAATTGCCCGATTTTTTTTTTGTTTTGTAGGTAATTAGTAATCTTTCTAATTATGAGTGCAATCCCGAAAAAAAAAAGTTTCTTTTCCTCCAGAAATTTCGGGGCGATAGTACTATTTTTGACATGTGAAGAAGAATATCTTCAAAATGAGTGGTCAATCAATGGATTTGATGAAGAATTGTCGAATTTATGGCGTACGAAAAAAAAAAACTCGTTTAGAAATAATATATAGAATTCTAAGAAAATATCCATTGAATAATCATTTATTCTAGCATAAACCCTTTTTATAAAAAAAATTCTTTTTTTTTTTCAAAAGAAGGTTCCGTTAAGTTATTAAAGGAGCAATTTAAAAATTGTGCAATATAAATTAATTTAAAATTTGATTCTTCCTAACTTTTCGGATTTAATGGACATTAGTTCCGTTATTATGTTGTCAAGGGCTCTTTTTATGAAAATACTGTCGTATTTCAAATTACGCATCACGTTTTTGAAACTTTTAGCATTTGATCGATATTAGGTTCCATTATGTTGTCAAGGGCTCTATTTTATGAAAATACTGTCCGATTTCAAATTACGCATCACGTTTTTGTAACTTTTAGCATTTGATCGATATTAGATTCATTATTATGTTGTCAAGGGCTCTTTTTTATAAATTCTGTCCAATTTCAGAATGTGCAACTGCTCGTGACGTTGTAGTAACTCGTCGGATTTGATCGATATCAGGATCCCTTACTACGTTGCTGGATGCTGTTTTTTATGAAAATACTGTTTGATTTTTTAATGTGCCTACTCTACATCGATATATATATAAATCCATATACTGCTCAAATCCGAAGTTACAAAAACGTGATCCCAATCGCGCATTCTCAAATCTGACAGCATTTACATAAAAAGAGCCTCCACACAACTTAATAAAAGATCCTAATAATGACCAAATGTGACAAGTTAGAAAAAAAGTGATGTGCAATCCGAAATCAGACAGTATTTTCATAAAAATATCCCGTTCCCCACAGCATAATAATGGATAGCTCAAACCATAATAATAATATATTAATATACTAACAATTATCAAATAATAATTTATTGCATATTAATACATGAAGCTGCTCTCCTCTCCCCTCAACAATGGACATAACTCCTCTCCTCTCAACATAACAATGGACCCTTATTTAATATACCAAAAACTTAATTTTAAGAACAATTTCATTACCATAAACAGGAATATATATATTTAATGTATGAATAATTGTTGAATAATGGTTATTCAATGAATTTTTGTCTTGAAAAAAATTTTATCCAGTGGTTATTGGCTATTGAATAACAAATAAAGTAAGATTATTCTGCTTATTTTTCAATCACTAACAAATAAATACGATATTATTTTTAGTGATTGAAATAAAAATAAATTTTTATTCATTATTATTTATTCGAATAAATTTTGTCCAACAGTGAAGTGTCCATAACCATACTTAACCAAGGATGGCTTTTACCAAATTCGTCAAAACTGAGAAAAATTACTAATAGTAGCGCTGCAGCTTGGAAATGAGTTCTCTCAGAGAGAAAACTCATAGAATAAAAGTTGTATAGAGAATCAAATTCTGCGTCCATTGAGTACTGACTAAGTTTTATCATAATGTAAGGTATCCTAATAAATGTAACATATATGCAAGATTATCCAATTGTACCCACAGTTTAATCAGTCAAAATATGATGAAAAAATTTGTTTTTTTCTACTGGTTAAGCAGCAGTTCAGTAAAGGACTAAGCCTAAGACATTTGGCATTCCCAGGCAATGAAATCACTTCCAAAAAATTAAATCTATTAAAGCTGATTTAAATGGATTAAATTAAGTAAAATTTAAGTTTTATTTTATTCAATATTTCTCTAATTTTTCGCTATATTAACATCCTATAATTATTCTCAGACTCCTTGTAAACTTTGTTTAATTCCTAATTAGTGGATGGTGCCCCTCATGAATACCCAGGACAATTGTTGAGCCCTAATGCTGGCCACAGCAGTAGCTCACATGTGAGAAAATGTTCGATATCTCTTGACTTAAACACATTCCAGGCTCTGATGTCGTTGCTTCTAGATCATTAAGAATGCGTTCTAACTTTGTGTCATCTGCTAGTAATGATTTTCCAAGTTCAACTAGCATTTGACAGGTCTTCAGTGAGTAATTTCTCCGATTCCGTATATTCAAACTTTTATTGGGGCACCAGAGTGTTTTTTATCTCCAAAATCAAGATAATTATTTTTGAACTTCTGAAATCAGTTACTACATGTCGTTTTCGACAGAGCACGCTCACTTTAAGTCTCAATAAGAATTATGTAAGCAAATTTCTTTTGAATGAAATTCCCTGCAAATACTCTTTACTTAACACAAAACGACATTTTTAGGATTATGGAAAAAAAAAGTTTGCTATTAATTAGTGACTAACATACAACAAAGTCTAAGCTTGCAGACAGTAGTTTTTGGAAAATTGCATTGCCATCTGAAATGAAACCCATAGTAATGGTTCTGCCATCAGTTATAAAACAGCAAGAACTTAATTTTTAAGTTTAACTTTCATTTTCTAATATATAGATAGATTCTTTGAAAGTCATTTTATTCCTTATATATTAGATCAGACAATTAAAAATCAGAAATGTTTATGCTAAACAATTTTTTTTTTTTAACTCGTTTTAAGAACTAGTTTCACTGCTTCTTGTTAGGCAAAAACAATGTTCCAAGTAAAAATATGCAATGCCAACTTTTCCTGATGATTTATACAAGTCTGAATTTCAACGATCAATCTTGATAGAATAAAAATCTTTACATCAATTTAAGTAATCTCAGAATCATATAATTTATTACAGTTTTTGAAAAATTTACTATAAAAATAAATATAAACAGTCTCATGGTTTAATTACTTGAACATTAAATAAATATTCATCAACAAAACTACTAAATCATTGAAGTTTCAAAATAAATTCCTTAAATCCTGTTTTGAAAATATAAGCATTCACAGATATAGAAAATTCTGATTTATTAGATAAAGTATCTATTAAACTTTTCTTGGCAAATATTCTTTCCTTAATGGCCGTTTTCTTATTTCCATGACACCATGCTATGCTCATATGAAATGATCCTTCCTGAAAAAGAAATTCCATGGTTTAGATTTATATTTAAAATAATAATAAAAATAGTCCATTGCTGTCTACATGCTTCTATCCGCTCACCACAATCTAAACCCAGTGATCCGAACAGGGGATTAGTTTACCTCTGGATAACGAACGTTTTACCTTAAGATCCATGATTATATGTGGCATTTGGTGAACTAAAGATATTTGAATTAGCATTCAATTGTAACACATCTCCCCCTACTCCCTCCCACCGAGCTCTCATTAGTGGTCTTTTTTTCTTTTTTTTGTCCTCCCCTTCCTCACCTTTTAGGCTATATGTGGTTTTCCAGGGTCAGGGGGTAAGGGCGGGGAATTAATGCCAGAGTTAAAAGCTAAAAGTGGTCAGCGAGTCCCTCAGACTTAGCTGGGAAGAACTTCCAAGGAATTTCTATCGACCATCTCCACATCCACCACCCGTGGAATGTTAGTAGAGACACCATCGGTGTCTGGGTCTACCTCTTTGTCTTTTCCCTCCTGGAGTACCATTCAGCATCATTTTTGGAAGTCTACTGAGATCCATTCTTTCAACATGATCCAGCCATCTGAGCCTGCCCTTCTTAATGACACTAAGGATATCTGGCTTTCCATATAACTCCATTAACTCTGTGTTGCTTCTTATTCTCCATCTATGCTGCTTTCTGACAGCTCCAAAGATCTTTCTTAGGACTCTTCTTTCCCACACCAGCAAGGCTCTCCTGTTTTCCTTGGTCATAGTCCACGTCTTACTGCCATACAAAACGACCAGTCTAATCACCGTTTTATATATGACTATTTTTGCCTTCCTGGACAGACTTTTGTTTCGGAGTGCCTTTTGCAGAGCATAGGAACATCTAGTTCCTGCAACCATCCATCCTTTTATTTCTGCTTCCAATTATTTTTTTCCGTCACTACTCCGCCCAAGTACTTAAATTTATCATAGTTGCGAAACGTGTCTTCTCCCAATTCAACAATATCTCCTCTCTCTCTGGTATGTTGGGATGTTTTCATATACCTCGTCTTTTCCATGCTTATAATGAGTCCTAACTCTTGAGCTGCATGCTTGAACTCTTCTATAGCACTGGCTAGTGCTGCTTTAGTTCTTCCTGATATAATAATGTCATCAGCATATGCCATGTATTGTGTAAGCCTATTATAGATGGTACCACCGGGGTTCGTCTTGATTTTCCGAATTGCAACCTCTAAAGCGAGATTGAATAGTACAGGAGATAACGGGTCCCCCTATCTTAAGCCACTGTTAATCTCGAAACTATCTGACATATCCACTCTGGTTTTGATCATACAGCTTGTCCTTTCTATGGTCATTCTTATTAGTTTACTAGGAATCCCCAGGGACTGTAAGGCTTACAATAGCTTACTCCTGTTCACACTGTCATACGCCTGCCGGAAGTCAATGAATAGGTGATGCAGGTCTATATTATATTCATACGCTTTCTCCAGCATTTGTCTGACAGAGAAAAGGTGGTCAGACAAAGGTGGTTCCTTCCTGAAGATACAAATATCCAAAAATATTGACTTCAAGCAATAATAATGAAAAGCTTTGTGATACATCTGAAAAAGTTTTTCCATCCCTGAGTTACTGTCAGTAAATAGTTAGGCAAATAAAAAAACACATAATACATGGGATTTCTTTCTTGACTTACTTGAATTTTATATGAAAATTTGAGCACAATATATCAATTGAGAGTCTAATTGGAGAAACATACATACACTCATTTTTATAGATATAGATGAACAATTATTACCCTTAATGAAAATAAGAAGGAGAGGGGGTTGTTCATAAAATAGTACTTTTACCAACTCAATACATAAAGTTTTCATATATACAAACAATAAAATTATATTACAGGAGTAGAGAAAAAAACAAAACTACGCAAGTAAAAAATATTGATAAACTATGCAATATTTTTTTAAAGTATACTTTGTATAATCACAAGAAATGAACATTACCTTATAAAATGGTTCTAGACGATATTCTTTCAAACAGCTATCAAAAAGCTGAACGGTTGATTCAATCTCATTTTTTCCTGTACCAACTGTGAGTCCCAAAAAGGTTCTCGATTGGTCTTCATTGCAATATACTTCAATCCCATCAAAGCAAACTTCATAGCTAGAGAAAACTAGTTAAAATGATGTAAAATGGTCAAAAAACATAAATATTAATTAACTTTAACAATAACCAAGTGTGAGAGTATAAATTTATTTAAAGCTATCATTAAGGAGTAATACTGTTTTTTCAGAATTCCACAGTTCGTGCTCATTTATATATAGATAGTTCCCAACCTTCTGCTCACTCAAAACATAATGGAATTTCCAACAACTTTTCAGGAAACAGGTGAGAGTTTGGAATGTTGAGGAGATATGTTTACATCATTGGCTGTATTTAATTATTTTTATCATTTTGGCAGATAATTACAAGAATTAAATTTCAACTTCAATTGTGGAGGGAGAGAAAAAGAAAAAAAATCAGTTTGAATTATGAATGTTTTTTTGGGGAGGTTATTTGATTTATTGAAGAGAATTTCTAGTATGTAAATAAATAATTGTTTTTCTCTTAAGTCTGTTGACTTTAACTTGTAAATAAATAAATGAAATTAGTAGCCTAGAATAAAATGTTATCAAAATCACAGGCTAGAACTAAAACAGAAAGAAAGAAATTGATGTTAAGGTTTTTTTAATTCTTGATTTCCAAGGCACTTATAGTAAATGATAGGTAAATATATTAAACAAATACTTATTTTGTTCAGAAAAACAAAATAAAACTGAAACACAATTTGTGTTTAATTTTGCTTATAGATCAAGCAAGTATTTGTTATATTAATATAACTATATTATAATAATCATTTAAGAGTATTTCTTTTAATATTTTTTTAATAACATGCCACAGAGAATTTGTTTGGAGTTGTTAGTGTTTCTAGCTTTTGTCATAATAACATGACTATTAATTGAAATTAGAGCAATTATTAATTAAATATAATTTTTAAAAATACAGCAAAAACCGACATTATAAAAATGTGTCTAATTTTTACTTTCACTTACCTATGTTAGTAATATATAATAAGGAAAAGTATTGCGATGGTGAAAATTTTTGAATCTGAGTTTTAAACAGAAATACACATTTTGAGGTACCCTGAGTCCAAATAACCAAGTCCTGCAAAACGGTCTATATGTATGTGAGCAGTTTAGCTCAAAAACAAAAAGTCCTATGACACTGATAGGTTCAGGGGTTATGGGAATAGTGTCTGAGCCTAACCTGGCTAGTTTGTCTGCCTCTTCATTGCCTAGAATGCTCGAATGACTAGGCACCCCCTCAATTGCAACTCTATTAAGCTCAGACAGATTGTTAACTGCTTCCCAGTCACTTTGCTTCGCAGTCGGTTTTGAGCACAGTGGCAAATTGCTAGTAACTCGGATTGAAATACCGAAGCGTATTAGCCAAGAAGTATTGAGTCTTTTTCTTTGTTAACTTTTCGATAGATGCTTGTTTCTGAGCCGTAGGCAGTGAGAGAGCCATCTGTATAACAATTATACCATTTTTTGGTTTATCTTAAATATGTAATCTCAGTTCCAGTTTCATACGGCTTTTCGTTTTTTAACTAGACTGCTAACATACACACACACAGACCATTTTTCAGCCCTTGGTTATTTGGACTCAGGGTACCCCACAACGTAAATTTCTGTTGAAAACTCAGGTTCAAAAATTTTCACAATCGCAATACTTACACTTACTATATATTTCATATATAGGTAAGTGAAAGTAAAAAGTAAAGAAACTGGGAAATTATAAAATGGAATATGCTCAAACAACAAATGAAGGAAAGATTTTGATGATTTAATGAGTATATGAAGAACAGATGAACTAAAACTATTAAGCTAGATATATCAATGGCTAATTCTAAAACCTTGCAAGTTTTAGAAGTAAGCTAACTTGATAACTTACAAGCTTATGGAGGTAAGCCATCAATATATTATGTGAAAGATAAGATGTGTTACATTGTTAATATTGTAATAAATGAGTGTTATAACACTGCAATAATTGAAATAGGCAAGTAAAATTTTTGGGATGAATGATAAACATTATACTAAACATTAGATAGATACAAAGATAAGAGAAGGTAATGAATGATCTTTAGGATTAAATGATCTCATTCGGAAGGAGATATTTGGATAATTCTGTTTGATAGTATATACATTCAACTATTAGGTTACTATGTCTTATTATTTTTACCAATTAAATTTTCAAGAAAAATACAAACCTGTGGAGTACTTTGATTTTTTCTTTGATTGAAAGATGAAATTCTTTAATCCAATGATATAATAAAACAAAAGTTTTGGTTAAGCTAACATGTGGATCTTTTATTTTGATTAGTTTGATGCCAGGTGAACAAAGTTCAAATAATTGATCAAATAAGTGATCAAAAGAAACTGTCTCATTGTCTGTAACAAAAAAAATTATTAACCATGTAAAATTTGTTTTTGTAAACAATTATCAACAGGTGTGTTAAAAACTTATTATTTGATTCAATGAAAACAGGAATAAACACTCAGACTGTGACTATATTAAATCCATAATTTATCCGATCAGAAATCTGATTAAGTTTGTACTATTCCAATTGAAAAACAAACACCTAGATAATATGAAAGTGGCTACATTAGAGCTGTAATTTGTCCAGTACGATTATCGGAATGATAAAATCTGTGATTTCCACTTATGCATCTTTAAATGTTTGGTCTTACCCAAAATACATACAAAATAATTGTTTAATTTTATTAGGCTTATTTTTTTGTATTTTCTAATTCTCCAATATTAAATATAATTTTATTTATTCAATGCGTAATTCAAAAGTGATTTAAAATCTAGTATAAAAATCTGGTGCATGCATCACACAACTTTCACTCACTTACCGCTCTACTTTAAACAGATATTCTTATATGGCAAAATTAGCTAATTAAAAAAAGTTTTTGAAGTAAATTTTTATTGGAACTAAACCTAAAGAACATATTTGTGGATTTCGGTTATATTTATCAATGCAAAAACTCAATAAGACCATCAAAATAAAACAAGCCCTATTTAGTATATTGATTGTAAGAAATAAAACTTCATAACTCCATCAGTCTATTTGAATCATATAACTCCAGTTTCTGAGCTCTAAAAACGAAGAGGGATTCAAAGGTACATATATTTAATTTAATCGTTTTGCTTCCTTACTACCGAAGGAAGGGAGGTATTGCACTTGTCGAGAGGTTAAACAAATTTTTGTGCTCAGAATCGAAAACTTCTCCTCCCGTTTTATGTTTCAGAGATCAAGGATCAAATTTCGTTCGGTGTCTATCTACATTCAAATCGATGTAACGGGCATATCACCTACTACCGTTTATCCAATTTTCATGAAATTTTTAGAGATTGTGCTGGTTAGTGTCTAGATGGTCTCCTATCAATTTCAATCAATTCTATCCAGCACTTCCGCTTACGCAAGAGCAAACGCATTTTTATAGCTATGCCAATATTACAGTTCGATTTGGCTTAAAGTTGGATAAAAGGTAGATATTGATGAAATAATAAATTTTACCTAGCCTGATGAATGTCAGATAAAAGACCGAAACTGTTTGCGCAAAGAGAGAAAAATAAAGAATTATATAGAAAGATAACGTATTTTTTATTAAATTAAATTTTCTCATAATGATGTAGAGTTGGTTGACCGTTGATATGATATGAGAAGGAATTAGTCGAGGGTGCGGTCAAAAAAAATAAAAAAAATTAAAATATATAAATAATTTTAATTTTTGCCGACGTTTCGACCCACTTTGCAGGTCGTCTTCAGGGCTACAAAAGATACAAACATGTTGAAAAAATAAAAATAAAATAAAAAATAAATATAAGTATATATAAATTACGAAGAAGTTGTCAGATACAGAAATAAAAGATAAAGAAAATAAATACATGATAAGAAAATAGATAAAAGAAAATAAATACATGAATGTTAACGAATAAATGAATGTTAACGAATAAATTGATTGAAAATTGAATAACTATTGTTACAGTAAAGTTAAAATATGGATAAGATAACATAATAATAAGATATCAGTGGATAACAAGCAAGTGGAGGTTACCTTTAATTGTAAATAAACAGATAACGGGACCAAAGGTTAAGAAGTGAAGAAATTGAAAGATTAATAGGGTAACATTAGTGTAATATTGTTGGGATAGATTATTAAGTATAAATAACTCTATAAGAAAACAATAATTTTAAAAGAATACTTTAAAATGTAAGAATAAATGTAAAAACAAGGTTATGATGATAAAGAAACAAAAAACAGGTTGTACTATATATAGATGACAATTGACATTTAGTTTTTTGAAAGCGGTAATGGAATGGTAGGCTATATGAAGATAATAATAAGGTGTATAGTTGAAGGATAGGTGTGTTAAGAAAGGAATCTCAATAAAAGTCAAAACATACCGTTGGATGTGGCACTGCGGGAGGCGGTTGAAACACTGGCAGTGTCAAAAACTCTAGTTAGCAGTGTCAAAAAAAAAAGTTCTAGTAAAAATAACCATATATATAATAAATATATATATAATAAATCTATATATATATATATATATATATAATAAATTTTAATAAATATATTTTAATAAATATATATATTTTAATAAATATATATATATATAATAAATAACAATATATATAATAAATCCATCTATATATATATATATACATACACATATATATATATATATATATATATATATATATAATATATATATATATATATATATATATATAATATATATATATATAAAAGGAGAAGTAAAAGAAAGTATAAATGGAAGTGAGAAGATTAAATAGAGGTTTATGATCGAGACTTTTTTAAAATGTTGATGATTTGGGAATAGGCGAGTGATAGATTTTGCTTGTCGGTTTTTAAGTTTAGTGGTTTGTAGTCTAATTGAATGAAAACACTTTCCGTAAGTAGTCTTTTGTCGTGGTTAGGTACTGTGGCAAGAATGGAGGTATTGTCAAAGTCAAATGTGTGGTTTGAGGTTAAGGCGTGTTCAGAGAGTTTAGAAGCAGTAGAGTTCTTAGAAGTAATTGAGTATTTGTGTTGTTTGATGCGGTCTTTAAGTTGGTTTTTGGTTTCTCCAATATAGGCGGAGTTACAATTGGTGGTAGAGCAAGGAATGCGGTATACGATATTAGAGCGGTGTTGCGGAGCGATGGGGTCTTTTAGGTTGGAGTAAATATTGGCAAGTTTGTTATAGTTTTTAAAAGCAACTCGCAGGTTGGGAATAGAGGAACGTAAAGATTTTTGAATTCTATCCGAAAGTAAAGGGATGTATGGTAGAGATCTATATAAAGGAATGGGGGGCTGATTTTGAGAACTAGAGAAAGGGATGGAGGATGAGGGGCGGGTTTTGTAGTCAGTAATAAGTTTTTTAATGGTGTTGGAGGGGAAGTTATTAGACAATAGTATCCGTTGTATGCGTCTAGTGTTTGTTTCATGTAGGTAAGGGTCAGATAGAGAAAAACATCGGTGAATGAGGTTTTTGGCAACGTTAAGTTTTTGGTGAAAGGGGTGTTGAGAATAGTAGTTTAGTAATCTGCCAGAGTATGTTGGTTTTGTGTACCAGTCTGTGGATAAAGTATTGTTGGGATGTCTTTTAATGAGAAGATCGAGGAAAGGGAGGGAATAGTTATCTTCGTATTCAACTGTAAAAGAGAGGCGGGGATGATATGAGTTAAAGGCGGAAAGGATGTCAGGAATAGTATCAGGATTGACGATGAGAAGAAGGTCATCGACGTATTTTTTTATAAGAAATATGTCATTAGGAAACTGTGGGGCTATGGTGTTTAGGAGATCATTAAGAACAATGTTAGATAAGTCGGGTGCGAGAGGATTACCCATAGCTAATCCTGCAATTTGATTATAAAATTGTCCATGGAACTGGAGATAACCAGATTTGCAACAAAGTTGTAGGGATTCAATAAATGATGAACGGTTAAGGGAGGTATGAGACTCTAAGGATGACCAGTTATTTTCTACTATAAGAAGGGCTTTATCTATAGGGATGTTGGTGAAGAGGCTTTTAACGTCGAAAGAGACTAGAATGTAATTATCGGGAATGGTTAGGGATAATAACAAATTACGTAGATGAAAGGAGTTGTGGATATCATATGGATTGTCATGACTAAGGATTTGTAAGGATGGGAGTAGAAATTTGCTGAGTTTTAAAGAGGGAGAGTTGATATTAGAAGTGATAGGACGGAGGGGAGTGCCGGGTTTGTGAATTTTTGGAAGACCATAGAAACGGGGAGCCACGGAGTTATAAGAGATGAGGTTTCTGTAAGTAGGATATGTGATTTGTTTAGAGTGTAAGAGGTTTCTGATATGTTGGTTAAAATGGATTTTAAGAGAAGGAGTGGGGTCACGAGTTGTAGGAGCGTATGTAGATATGTCTGATAGGAGTTCAGTCATTTTTCTATTATAGTCTGTGAGGTCCATGATAACTGTTTTATTTCCTTTGTCCGCTTTAGTGATGATGATGTCGTCATGATTTTTAAGGAAGGAGCGTGTGGAAGAAAGATCTTTGAAGAATTGAGGGGAAAAGTTAGAAGTAGTGGATGGGGGGTGTTGGAGATGGTTAGAGATAATGTTAGTTATGGAAACTCGAGATAATTCTTTATTATCATTAGAATGGTGAAAGATCGGATCGTTATAAATATATTCCAAGTCAGTAATAAGTTCAGGGATGAGTTTGGTAGAGGAATTAGGGGTGGAAAAATTCGGACCTAAGTTTAAAATGTTGAGGACGTTGGAAGGAATATCTATGGATGAGGAGTTGTGGACCCAATTATCGTCTCCTTTTGGGTATATCTTATGGACTAACGATTGCTGAAAAATGTCATTAAATTTAGTGGTGAGAATACTTTTTTTCTTTGATCTGGTAGTAATAAAGATAGTGGAGATAATTTGTGATAGGTTAGTCATGTGTTCGTCAGTCATGATGGTTTGTAATAATTGAGTGATGGCGGAAATTTGTTGGTTGAGGTGATGGATATGTTGTATGATTTCACGGATTTTCAAATTAAGGAGCGATTTTTTGAATTTTAAAGAACAGTTAGATAATTTGGAATTGAGTGGTTTGGAGATAGTAATGTGATTGAGGGAATTAGTGATTGATTTAGGAAAAAGAGAGTTGGAGCGGCATTTCAGTAAAAAAATGCGCTGTTCTAACGTGTCGGCAAGGCGTTTATGGAGCGAGCATAGGTTATTAATGTGGTATTTGTGACTAGAATAAATGGTTTTGAAAAATGAGAAGGATAAATTAGCTTGACTGGGAGCGGAACTTATTAGAGAGGAGGAGTTTAAAACTGAAGAGGTCAATGTGTCATCTTGTGACGAATTGTTAAAAGAAGATGGAGAAGAGTGTGAAGAGAAGTTATTAGATAACGGTGCTGCGTGATGAAAAGTTCTGGAAGATATTAAATTTTCTCAATTAAAGAATTGTTATTGTTTGTCAGCAATTGGCTTTATTGCTATGATTTTTTTCAATATTAACAACGAAAATCTCAATTATATTAATAACTGTGGAAATTTGCATGAACTTAAAAAAATGTATCCTAAACTTAGACTTATGTATTGTAAACTTAACAAAAACATTTGGTTTAGTAAATTTTGTTTAAAAGCGAAAATTATACCCAATTGCATTAAAAATATATTTACTAGTTGTAATCTAACCAATAATGAATGATTTAGTATACAGATTTTTACTCTCAAAAAGCAAATTAAAAACCTTTATTCTATGAGATCGTCAGTTTGCCACTATTTGTATAATATTCATACTATATTAATATCCAAAATGCATCGTATTGATTTTGACAGTTAAGACTACTATGGATAGGGATTGGATGAGGAATCTAATGGATAAAAAACAATTTAAATTGGAAAAGAAACTAGGAAACATGGAAAAAGAAAAAGTAAAGAAAAATCCCTTTGAACAAAAAATTTACAATTATCAACATAATTTCTATCCAAGAGTAATTAACAAAACTGATCTTCAGCTTAATCATAAAGAAATGAATTTATTAGGTAGTCTGAAATTTCGCCCAAACAATACTTTAACTAAAGATAAGTTACATGAGCTTGCGGACCGACATTGAATGTGAGGGGCTATCATATGAAAATAAAGCACTGTGTACTGATGCTATTAAGAGGATGTCTGCAAATATGGATCTAAGACCTATTAGCTATGGGCATACTATAAGCAACATAAATAAAAAGCTTGAAAAAGAAAACAGCTTAATTCTTAAAGCAGATAAAGGGAATTTAATGGTTATAATGAACAGACATGACTACATAAAAAAAATGCGAAGATTTTATTGACAGCTCTGGTGCAAAAAATATAAAAAAAGGACCGAACCGGAAAAATAAACTCTTTTCAAAAAAAATCATTAAAGAGTGTGATACTTTTTTTTAAAGGCGATTTTGAGAAAAAATCAATAAGGGTTATGAATCCTAGCGTACCACTCCTCTATGTCCTACCGAAAATTCATAAAGACGGGTGCCCCATCCGACTAATTATATCTACCTTTGGTAGCCCCTGCTTCAGATTAGTGAAAAAAATATATATATAAAATTAGAAACTTGACTAATTTCAAGGCAACAAGTGCAATAAAAAAAATTATAGAATTAATTGACATCATAAAAAATATCTTAATTTCAAACTCATTCATTCTGGCCAGCTTCGACATTGTAAATTTGTTTACTAGCATTCCTTTAATAGAATGCGAAAAACTATATGCATTATTATTATATAAAAGTAAAGTTAATCCATTTTTATGTGAAGACATAATGGATCTCCTTTCATTGTGTTTTAAACAACAAATTTTTAAATTTAATAACAAATTTTACAAAATGGACGCTTTGCCGATGAGATCTTCACTATCCCCACTGAGTGCTGAGCTGTTTATGGATAGTCTAGCAAAAATTTCTATGGAAGTTTTTAAAATACATGTTAGACACTGGTCCAGATATGTTGACGATGTTTTCTGTATATGGGAAGGGAAGATGGGCAAATTAAATAAATTCCTTACAGATATCAATAAGATGTTTTCTGTATATGGGAAGGGAAGATGGGCAAATTAAATAAATTCCTTACAGATATCAATAATATACATCCCAATAGAAAATTCACAATAGAAATAGGTCCAAATAAAATTAACTTCCTTGACTTGACCATTTCAATTAATAATAATTCATTAACATTTGACATTTACAGAAAACTGACTACTGCAGACATAATAATACCGTTTGACTCGTGCCACCCTTGGTCGCAAAAACTCAGCACTTTTTACTAGCTAGCTAATAAATTACAAAAAATACCTTTATCCCTTAGCAAAATTAATGAAGAAAAGGCAATCATTTTTCAAACTGCAACAAATAATGGGTAAACCACAGAAATTATGGAAAAAAATATTTAGAAAAATTGAAAGACAAAAATTTGTATATGCAACTTATAACAGTCTACAATATAATAATATTAATGATTTCAGAACAATTACATATATATGTCCTGATACTTATAAAATTAATAGTATTTTTAAAAGAGACAAAAAAAATTGTGGCCCTTAAACCTTTTACAATTTTAAAAATCATGGCCTCCAGGACTTAAGATCGAGTTGATCTTTTAAATAAGAGTAGGGTCTACTCGATAGAATGTTCATGTTCTGCCGTTTATATCGGGCAGACGGGAAGAAAACTAAAATGCAGAATTAAAGAACACCTTCCTGGGTCAGGCCATGCATCACATTTTAAAGATCATTTTTTAAATTGTTCACACCTACAAAAAAATAATAAGGTAGAATTGTTCTACAACATTTCAAAAGGGAAAAAAATGGACTTTTTTGAAAAATTAGAAATTAAGAGAAGAATTATAAGTAATGACGTAACATGCCTGAATGTGCAAAGTACTCAATTTGAGGATTCTGCCCTCATAAAATTAGTGGCGGCTAATGAGAACAAGACGTGGTGGTAGAAATAGCCCATCTGGTCAATAGTTTTATTTTTAGTCCTCATTTGACAAGCAGAAGAGGAGGACCATCATCATTACCATTTATATTGAATAATTTATTAAGATTGGATTTTAAATTAGGTTTTATTATTCTTTGCAAACATTTTTATAGTTGTTGTTAATTTTATTATATTACCTAGACTTATGAGGGCCTAATAATAGACCGAAACCAGTTGCACAAAGAGAGAAAAATAAAGAATTATACAGGAAGACGTCTTTTTTATTAAATTAAAAAAAAAATGGCAATGAATTGTTTTAAATAAAGTAATACCATCGTTTTCACTTTGCCTTCCCTATATATGAAAATACCTAATATACTCTATTGTTGGTAAGTAAATGTTGTGTGATGATTGCACAGCACCAGATTTTTACTTTCACTTACCTATATATATAATATAAAGTAAGGATAAGTCTTACAATCATGAAAATTTTCAACACTGAGTTTTCAACGGAAATACACATTATGAGGTCCCCTGAGCCCAAATAACCATGTCCCACAAAATGCTCTGTGTGTGTATGTGTGTATGTATGTGAACAGCCTAGCTCAAAAATGAAAAGTCGTACAAAACTGAAATTGTGTATTTGAGGTTTTTATAAGCCTGGGATATTACAGCAACATTTTCATCAAAATCGCAAACCGGAAGTGGTATTTCATATTTCACAAATTTTTACGATTTTAACAAAAATGGCTCAAACGATTTTGATTAAACTCAGTATGTTAGTGAATTATTAAGCAGTTTTTAATAAATGTAGGTTTTATTCTCATTGATGTTCTCTAACAGAGCTTAAATGGCTAATTATCAATATTAGCTTCCTCTAAAGTACCTTTAAGTTTTATATTTTAAATAATTAACCATTTCACATTAATATTTGATACAAAATATAGTTAAATATAAAATATGAAAGAATTCGATAATTAACTAAAGCGGAAATAAGAGATCGTAACGGATAATAGTTGTAATGGAAGAATCAAAGAAACATGAGCATACCTGAAAGATTACAACAGGCTTCCAAGTGTCGTAACATGAACTTAGTATAATCCGGAATCCAACAATATTATGTACATATACATATGCGGTTTTCATAAATGCTATTGTTGGTATTATTTAATATTAAATTGTATAGAATATAGTGATATAAAAATTAAATTTTGTATATATAAGGGTATTTAAACAAATTAAAATATCCACAATGAAATGTAAATAAATATAGTGTCTATAATTTTTACTTTCACTTCCCCTTAGTCTGAAAACACTTATTTCAGTAAAAATCGTGTGATGCGCACACCGGTTTTTAAAAATTTATTTTCATAAAGATGATCAATTAATTAGCCCAAATCAACCATTGATTATTATTTTTATAAACATACAAGGTATATAAATCAAAGAAGTCCAATTTCCTCTCTTGTGAGGAAATGATCGATATCTTCCATCATGTAAAGAGGGATCATCTTCGACCTCTTCTGTTTCAACACCTCTCAAGGATGCAGGCAAAGGCAGCCTATAAAAAAAATGTAAGAAAATGTATCAAAACATCACTTTGGCATGTAGATATGTAGTAAGAATTAATTTTTTTTTTAGAAATTTAAAAGTAGATATGAAAGGTTAACACATATTAATCTGATAATTTTTTGCACCGCCATTTACAAAATGGCAGCATCTCTTTATCTCTGTTTGGTAAAAATTAGTATTTAATTTATTTAGAATTAAAAGAACAAGAATCATTTAGATAGATAATACATTTAGTGGCTTAAATACAATGTAGCCATATGAGTGTAGCCCAATTAATTGGTGTTAGTTAAACAAGAATCAATTATTTTCTGTAATATACAAATGAAGAATGTCCGTCATTTGGCTGTTGGTGATTGTTTCCGAAATGAAAAATTTTTGTCATGACGACGAATAAGTGTAATATTCAGCTTTTAATTAACATGTATTTCAATAAATTATCTTCTAAGATATAAAGGAAACTAAGAGATTTTTTTATATTAAATTACTGAGTAGATAACTTCAAATTTTCTTATACTGCTATGTATACAAAAAAACCTGTACCACTACAACCCATGAAGGATCTTGGGTTCAGTAGTATTTAGGGAAAGTACTGTTGGCCAACGGCTATGCAGGGAGGGGATCGGGCCAGGATCAAGCTCAACCGTCAGGTTTTACCCCTTAATCAATTATTTAATTAAGGGTACCTACTTTGTAGAGGCTGGGTGTGCTCCAGGAGGGTCTCCCTATCCCAGGATCGCCCCACGGTCAATGAAACAGAATAAATAATATTTCTGCTATAAGCCAGAATTCGAACCTGGGACCTTGAGCATTGGAAGCTTAGTGCCCTACCATTGAGCTACTCCACTCCTCTTTGCTATGTATACTAATTTTTAATATTTTTCCCTGTATCCTTCTACTATCTCTATATTCATTCTTCATTCCTTGTTTTTTATTAATGTTGAACCTTGTTTTACTTAGCCCTGCTAAAGGTCGATAATTTAGACCAAAATGTTGGAACTTATTTGGCAGGGTTGTTTCAACAATGCTAAAGTTTCCTAAAAGTACCCATTTTATAGAGAATGATGTTCCCCTTGAAGGTCTCCCAAACTAACAGTTGATGTAACAGCACAAATGATTACTTTAAAGTTTGTAACCAAATGGAGAATGAGTGAAGGAAAATCTAAGAGTTTCCTCTCAAGCTATTGTATGTGCACAGCCAATTATGTTGTATAGGCTATTGCAAATATTTATATGAGCACATTCCATGAAAAAAGCAGAATCACCCATTCACAGTGTTCAGTAAACATAACTGTGGAACTGCAGGAGATTGCCATAACCATGAGATTGACAAAACTATGTGGTCTGATATGAACTAGCCAGAAAACTGCAAAGACATCATAGTTAGTGAGATCAGTGCTACTCCAAGATGGCGTCTAGTTTCAAGATCATACTGGAGATGGAATCTTGATAAATGTCCAAATTAGAGAACTATTAACAATCATCTTCAGATACAATGATAGGCATTCTTTATAGCATAAAATAGTTTATAAGTAAAAAATATTTCTTATTTTATTTTCTAATGAAGTAACAAAAACCTCTGACATATTTAACTTTTTCTTTTAACATTTATGTATATTTTCACAATCATATAATTAAGTAGCTGTTATAAGTCACATAAGAAACATGCAAAAAATGCAGTGTTTTTTAGAAATGGCAATGACATACTTTTTTTATCCCAAAACACTCTACAAGCCAATTTACTGAGTAATTTTTTTTTCTTCAATTTAATCGCTATTATTAACATTTAATTCCAAGGATCAAAATTATTAATTCACAAGTGTCACTCCGACATTCTGAGAATGGCTGAAAAGTAAGCAGAAACAATCGATTCCGTTTCATGTTGGGAATAGTATCTACAGTATTGTGACATGATCTTAAATCCATATGTCATGCTGGAGTGACACTTGTCTATAGTACAGAGTTGGCCAAAAATTATCCGATTGATGAGTGACAAATAAATTTTAATTCATAAAAGAATTCATAATAAAACTCACGACTAATGTTTTTTTTTTATTCATTAGTTGTAACTAAAAAAATAATAGAAAAGAAATTGTTTTTATAGAACCGCCTAATGAATAAATATTTAGACATTCATTCATGAATTAATTTCTGAATAAAACATATGTTAAAATTGAACATAATTTTTTAAAATTATTTTTAACTTTTTAAAGTTTAATTATTGATATAATTAATACCTATTTAATGTTAAAATTTGGTTTGATATACCATTTCAATAAATTAACCCAAAACTTCCCCAAAAATCTTTAGCTCTCACTTTTTCAATTGAGTCATCATATTAAAAATAATAGAAATTATCTTAGTTATATTAAAGGTTAAAAAATAAAATAAGCATAAAATAGTTTTGAAAAACCATCAACAACCTTCATAGACGGTTTTTGATAAAATAATGGTTTACTATTTTTAACTGTACAACTTTTAGAAAATTTTTAAACTCTTCGGATCAAACTAATTTACTTGGGTATAAATCTATTTGATATTATTTATTATTTAGTAAATAATATTAGGGAATATTATTAGAATTACAGAATAGTTCATGGCCGGTCAAGATAAAAGTCCCAAATCATAGTAAATTAAAAGGTGTATTTTATTGGTTTATTAGCATCTCCCTCTGCAGGTACTTATTCCAAGAGGATCACCACATAAACGGCAGACCGTTCAGATCTAGAAACCTAGTATATTTTTAAAATAAAGGTCAATAACATAAGTTTAGAAAAAGTTTCGCAGCCCTAACCTGATCGATCACATTTCAAAAGTTATTGATTTATTGTTAATCATTATTGTCAGTTTTGTGTTCTTAAACTTTTTTTTTCATGATGATAGGATGATGAAAATAGAAATATCCGTGACTGATTCAGCTGCAATAGTGGAAACCGTTTACATTTATAAATAAGGGTAGTGACAATTTTAAATGTATTATTATTCAGTTTTTATTTCAATAATTATTTTTTCCACTAAATGTTTATTCGAATAAAGTTTTCATCTTATTGAAATTTTAGTCATAAAAAAGACTAATAATTTATTCAGATTTTAATTTGGATAAAATTTTAATCATTTTTAACAAATTTTTATTCTTGGTTAAAAGTTCCGACAGAAAATGTAGTCGTTTTATTATCCGAATAACTTTTCAATGAACTAATGCCCAACTCTGCTATAGTACTCAGCCTGAACATTTTGAATAAGTAGGGACATATTCCTCCTCCTATAATTGTAATAAAAATACTAATTGTACATTCTTTAGCATTAAAAAAAAATAAAGAAATATTTTATTGAAACCAAGGAAAATATACTTCATGGATTTATAAATATGATAAATCAACAAGAAATAGTATTTAAATAATTATAATAATAATAAAACGATTCTGTTGGGTATAAATGTATTTGCCAATCAAAATAACTTATAGACCATTTAGAGATTAACAATAATACTATATCCAATACCTCGTTTGATTTACATCATTGTTATCTTCATCCTGTTCTTCATCAGAATTACTGTCATAAGCTGAAAGCAAAAGGAGACTAGAAGGCATTTAAAAAACTAACAACAAATCCAAACTACCCCACAAAAGGTTTACTAATCTGTTTTGATTTCAAGGAGCTAAAACTTATTATCAAATGAATAACAGAAAGGTGTTGATAAGGGTGGGGCAATGACGTAACGCGAGTCTCGGTTCGTATCAGTGACAACTTGTTCCACACTATTTTTTATCGATACCCCTAGATAACCATTTATGGTATACAGGGGGTGGGGGGAGGGGGAGAGGGAGGTTGTTCTAGAGGTACAACGAAAGCTGTTCTAACCAGAATTGGATGGTTGAGATTCATTGTAGAAGTCCGCCACGAAATAAATATTAATCCGCCTAGGCCGAATCCGAATCGTAGTTAGACTCGAGAATATTATAGTTTACGATTTAACGTCCCGATCACACCCTCCACAACTTGTTCCATACTAGTAATGGGGTGTTTTATAGCTACCTGCTTATTGGAAACAGTTTCTTTCATTAAAAATAAACAAGATACCGGAAGAGGCAAGTTCCTAAACTCAGCATTGAGCTCACCAATGACATTGGATACGTAACTAAACTGAGCTAAACTAGCTAATCAATGAGCACAGCACTTAGTTTCGGAACTTGTCCCAAGAAATCTCACAGTTCAGGTTAAGTTTGTATGATACGAGGTAAAGTTTTACTAAACGAAATGAATTCAACAGTATGAGAAAAAAGTACATTATAAGGAAAAGTAAAACTACAAATTATTAGTATCGGTATATCAAAAATATATGTTCGAAAATAATTATATTTCTAATTACTCACTTTATGAGGAGGGAGTTCCGCAGGGCAGCGTCTTGGGTCCCATCATTTACATCCTTTTCACCGCAGATATTCCTGCTCATCCTGATACTCTCCTGGCAACATTCGCTGATGATACCGCTATCCTTCCAACCAAATCAGATCCTAAAAGAGCTTCATTAAACCTACAAATGCACCTCTCCCTGATTGAACACTGGTGTAAGAAATGGCACATTAAGATAAACAAATCCAAATGTAAACACATAATCTTCACTCTTTGTCGTAAATCCTGTCCACCAGTTTATTTTATCACAATCCAGCTTCTTTTCTCAGATACAGTCCGGTACGTTGGCTTTCTCTCAGACCTACGACTAACGTGGAATCCTCATACTAGATTTAAAAGACAAGAACTAAACCGACGATACAGCCAACTATACCGACTACTAAACAGAAAATCTAAACTTTGCATAGACAACAAGTTACTGATCTACAAGACAATACTGAAACCTATTTGGACTTACGGAGTAGAACTGTGGGAAACAGAAAAAAATTTTAACATCAATCGCATCCAATCCTTCCAGTCAAAAGTCCTTCGAACAATAGTCAATGCAACTTTCTATGTAACCAACAAAACCCTATATCATGACCTCAACATCCCACTTGTCCTAGACAGAAAAAATATCCAAATTTCACCAGAACCTTACGTATCATCCAAATCCTCTTGCACAATCCCTATCAAGCATCACCCATCCCTGTAATCTTCTAAGTAGGTTGGAATGGTAGTGGCCTCGCGATCTTTTGTAGCTTGTGTGTATTGGAGTTCTGGCAATGGCCAGATTCTCCATTCAAGACATGAGTGTATGTGGCTAAAGTGCTCTCGATCAATCTCCGCTGGCTTTAGTACCACTGATGCGATTGAGAGAGTAGCGCAGGGTTCTCCAAGTATGCATGTGTTTTTTGCTTAGTTTTAGGTGATTTCATTTTATTTATTGTATATACTTTTTGATTATTATTTTGCTTCTATTTATTTCATATTTTTTGTAAATATAGTGTGAATGTTATCCTACCTCAATATAACTAATGTCTAAGTGACAGATTGTTGTAATACTCAATGATAAATTTTTAAAAAAATTAAAAAAGGGCCCTTATTACTCCCTGATTTAATTATTATTTAACTATTGAAGAAAAAAAAGGGTATTTATTACAGTTTTCCGATACCATACAAACAGCACCGGCCTTAGGGTGGACTAACCAGGGCAATTGACCCGTTGGAGGCTCGAAGGATATTCAGGGACGCTCGTCACTCGTAAGGAATAACAAAAAAATATGTATAAAACGTATTAAAATAATTGATTTTTACCTTCACTTACGTATATATATGTAATATATAGTAAGGGTAAGTATTGCGATCGTGAAAATTTACGAATCTCAGTTTTCAACAGAAATACATGTTTTGAGGTTCCCTGAGTCCAAATAACCAAGTGTCGCAAAATGGTCTCTATTTTAACTGTCTAGCTCATAAACGAAAAGTAGTACGAAACTGATATTAAGTATTTAAGGTTTGTATATGAGCCAGATGTGACAGTAACTTTTTTGTTAAAATCGTCTAACCGGAAGTGCCACTTTATATGAACGCTGAAACACATTTTTACAATTTTCTCAAAAACGGCTCTAATGATTTTTATTAAATTCGGTGTATCATTGTATAATTAAGTGGTCTTTAATATCAATTAGGTCTTATCCCCGTTGATGTCACTTTACAGGGCTTAAATGCCATTTGCTCATATACGTCTTCCTCTAAAGTACCTTTAATATGGTTTATTTTAAAAAGTTAATCATTTCGCATTATTCAGAGTTACGAAAAAATGCTACATATAACTTTTGAAAGAATTTGATATGTTAATAAAGGAGAAAAAAAATAATAATGCAGAAAAACCTGCGTTGCTATAGACTGTAGCGCCTAAACGAATGTACAGATTTCAATGAAACTTCGCTAAAGTCATTTTCTCGACTCCCTTTAAATTTATCTATATGACATACTTCAACGGAAAGAAGCTGGAAAAAAAGTTACGAGGGATGGTAAAATTAAATTCCGAATAACTCAAAAAGTATACATTTTTTTGTATCTAAATTTATACCTTTATTCTCAGTTCTATATTTCAACACTACAATCACCACCTCCGGAATCAACTTACTCGCTGTTTGCATAGATAACTTTTTCAACTAAAAATATTACTAAATTGACATTACTCAAAAATGTTGAAATTAGAGTTAGTCATTCTGTGGTTTATAAAAGCAAAGAAAGTTGTGTGATTTATAAAAGCAGATGGAGTGACTAAATTTTTATTGCCTACCGTCGATATATTAAATAGACATTTTGTCATTATAACGATCTTAATGACTTAAGTAAGCTCTAAGTTTTAGCTCCGTTTAAAATGCACTTAAAATTTTATAATGGCCCAGCATTGGCAGAAAATAATTTCTATTCAAAGTAGAGCGGTAAGTGAAAGTCGTGTGTTGCGCGCACCAGATTTTTTATTTTATTATCATCTTTCCTTGTCTGTCGGGACTACAGATTTTTGAGAGAAGCAGCACAATACTTCTTCCACTTGTTATCTTTCTTCCGTCTCCCCCCTTCTTGATTAGTGAACATTAAAATGATCAACCCTCAATAATTCCTTCCAACCGTACACGAAAGCTTCCTATTCTGGGTAGTTATCCTTGCTTACTAACTGAGGGAAATCGTCCTCCGTGATAATATAGAGTCGTGTTTCCCTCTGTAGTTTGGGGGTCCTTATTGTCTCAAAAGCGGTGCAAGTTGAGACGACATGCTCAGCAGTTTCCGGAACAACACAACAGGGATATATGAGGTAGATTACCTTTCCAAAGTCATGAAGCTTGGCGCGAAATCCTCCATGCCCTGTGAGGAATTGTGACACCCAATTCTCTTCTAACCTCGAATAGAGGTAGGAAAATATTTTTTCGTGGTAGAGGCTTTATGAGTAGTTACCTACTGTTTATTCCACTGCTCAATGGTATCCTCTCGTATTATTCTCTCCCATTTAGATGGATCTGCCACAATCCTTTCTTGGAATTTTCCAAAAGAGTGGCTGAGCCTTCTGTTTTAAGAATATATTAATCTTATCCTCTTGCAGGAAGTCGAGAAGTACCCCTCCTTCTAAAACCTGCACCGCTTCATTAGCAACAGTCCAGTAGGACTTTGTTATTCACAGCAGAGCAGTTCTTTGGATTGTCGCCAATCTTCTTTTTTGTAGTTGTGAGAGGTTTTGGTTCCAAGCTGGAGACATGTACTTAAGGATACCCAACACTACCCCATTATAGATAGTCATCCTTGCCGAGTACCTGAAGCTCCAGAAGGCGCCCCCAATAAGACTTAGTCCATTGAATGCTAGGGTCACCCTAATTCTGAGATGACCCAAGTGAGGAGCGACATTGAATCTTCAGCAAACCTTATTCCAAGATAGGTCATTTCCTCACTCTGACTAATCCTTATCTCTTGTATATTCCTGATAAGAGGGTGAGCCCTAGCAGCCTTATCCTTTAGAAGTATAGCTTGGGTTTGGGGCCCCTTTTCATATTTTTCCTCTCGCACTATTCTTTGACAAGATTGATGCATCTTTCGGCTTCTTCTTTCAAGCCGACTCTGCTGTTGGACACCATCACTACGGCTAAGTCAATACATAGGTCGTGGCAGGGAACCGCTCCTCTTCGAGTACCCCCAGTAACTCATCAAAAACTAATTTCCAAAGGGCAGGTCCAATGACAGAGCCCTATGGAAATTCCCTTTCTACACTTTCTTCGAATCCATAGAAGTTACCTCGGATCCTTACCCTTCAATCCTCTAGGTAACTTCTGATTAGTGCATAGAAGTTGCTGAGGGCCTCAAACCTTTGTAAAATTTGCTGGGGATCCTTAACCCATCATCGATCACTGCCTGAGATTTTCACTCACATACATAAATTGTGGATGTGATCTAGCAGCTCCTAGAGGTAGGATATGCATCCAATCTTCCTAAAATCTGTAGTTCACAGTTTCTTCCTTGTCACCAATCAACCATCCACTAATTAGTTTCCAGCCCTTATTCTCTTTTCATAAGACATTCTCTCAGGTGTGATTGCTAATGGGATATAAGATTTTCAAGAATTTTTCTCATACATAACAAGTGTTTATAATCTATAAAATGTTCCTTTCTAGACAAGGTTAGCTGAACATGGTAAAAGTAGATTTGAAGAGGCAGGATCTTCTTCCTGTACCCCTAGTTTAGTTCTATGTCTATGTGCCTCTAAGCAAAGAACTACTGCAATTGACAAGAGGACAACATTGGTAGGAACACTGCAAAAGAATAAAAAGGAATTTCCATCCTTTTTCTTTAACAAAACTCAACAAGTGCACCGTATAATGTAATCATACTGTATTTACTATAGAAATTGTGCTGAACAAAATTCTTGTCTGACTGAACATTTTATTTCAAGTTTCTATAAATAAGATATTTGTATTTTTCTACATTTTATAATTTTGTTTGATTGAATAATTTATTTTAAGTTTAGTGCTATTGTATAATGATATTTGTATTTTTGAACATTTTATAACATCTTTCGAATAGTTTCTTGAATATTTTTTTTTTATATATTAATATGCATTAATAAACATCATGCAAAAAAAAAATATCAATTTTAAAAATAAATCATAAATATTTTTTTTTTTTTAAATCTGTCATCAACTTAAATCCATATAATAAATGTAAGAAAAAGTCTCATGTATGGTCATCCATAACAATATTGATCTAACGGCCAATGATGGATTAAAAGAGAAATATGATAAAAGTCTCCGTTCCTCCCTCCCTAACTCTACCACTTCACGGCTGGGAGCGCTGGAAAGGTTTTTTTTTGGGGGGGGGGGGGTTTCACTTAAATTTTGGGATCAGTGCGCCATAAAGAAAAATCTGTTTTATTCCAAATGAAAGCTGTCAAAACTTCCTTTCAGAAAACTTTCAAAAACTTCCGCTTCATATTTTTGTATTTGCTATTATTCTCAAAATATTTACTACCGTAAATCGACAATTTCTGGAAAACTGACTCCGAAAAAAATGTAGAAAATTTTATTTTTTTCGGAAATATATATTGTGGGGTTATTCCAAAAAGCCATAAAAATCAGATCTCTAAATACTTTGATGATTTTTTTCACTGTGAAATGAGAAAATTGTGCACTTAAGAGTAATTATTTTTGATTTCTAAAAGGGTTCGTGTCATTTGATGTATTAATGATCAACAATATAGTGTAATGATCAACTAAGCCTGTTAAATACAAAATTATTTTATATAAGAAATTGTAGAAAAATGAACTTATTTTGCTTCTTTGGAAGTAAGTCATAGTATTGTACTACTATTCAGTATTATTTGAAATAAAATCTTTAATAATTTTTTTTATTTACACTAATAAATAAAAGAATGGTAGCTTATATATTAATACATATTTCACATGATTTGTGATTATTTATAGATCTTGCATTTTGAAACCAGGACCAGGAGGTTCAGATTTAAGTGAAGTAAAATCACCCTTTGGTTCAGCAGCAAATCGTCCATTTCTAAAACATGATAGTGAAAATATAGAAAAGGTATATATGAATTAAAAATAAACAAGTATTTATGTATTGATTGAATTGTGATGGAATATAGAGGCAATGACTTTCCATTCTGGTTAGGAGGAGTGATGGACCCCCAAAAGAAAGTCTCAAGAGATTACATCATGCATAAAATTATGAGTGATACTTAAGATAATCAACATAATTATGGTAAACCGAACAATATAATACTATAATAATAAATAAATAAACAAATTATAAATTTATATTTATACTTTGTGGGTTGATGGTTGACTGTAATGAATAATTGAAAAGAAGGATGGTTGGGATGATCAGTCAAAATAAAAAATAGCAAAATTGAATAATAATATTTATTTTTACATTTGCCGACGTTTCGGCCCAAAGTTCAAGCCTTCATCAGGGCTGAGAAAAGAACCAGATGACCATAGGTATGAGAAAATATAAACATTGTTATATGGTTCTTTTCTCAGCCCTGATAAAGACCTGAACTTCGGGCCGAAACGTCGCCAAATGTAAAAATAAATATTATTATTTATTTTTAATATTTTCTATTTTGACTGATCACTCCAACCATCCTTCTCTCTATATATATGTTTATATGTTAGTTACTTTTATTGTATAGATATAATAATAATAATAATAATAATAATAATCTTTTATTTATTCTGGGACGAATCCCTTTAGAATAATTAACAAGGCCAAAATGTGGGCTTTTGAGCCTCAGATATATATACATGTATTTAGAAAGTTAACTAATAGATATAATAGAGAATAAAGAAAAAAAAAAGTTGAAAATAAGTTAATAGTCCGTGGTACAGGCCCCTTTTCATGAAATTAACATCCACCTAAAACTTCGTAAGTGACTTCATTTTGTCGTAACCTACAAATATTTTATCTACAAAAATTCTCAGAATTGGGATGTTTGGCGTGACCTACAATTCTAACAGGTTGTCAGAATAACATTGTGTCAATTTATGAACATCCAGCTGATTTTCACATTAATGGTTAATAAAGATGAGTATGATCAAATGGTCATAGTGGCCTACAAAAATTATGGAGCAGTTGGCATCACTTATAACTCCAGTATGTCGTCAATACGACGTTGTGAAAATTTATGAACATCCGGCTAATTTTCACATTAATGGTTAAAAAAGATGAGCACAATCAAATGGTCAAAGTGGCCTGCAAAAATATTGGGGCGCTTGGAGTGACCTACAACCCTAACATGTCTTGGGAATTACGTGGTGAAAATTTATGAACATCCGGCTGATTTTCACATCAATGGTTAATAAAGATGAGTGCATTCAAATGGTCAATAATGGCCTAAAAAAATATTATGGAACATAAAAAAAAAAAAGAAAGTTAAATTTCGTCAAACTTTGTTCAGGAACCTTTTCATAAGAGCTGGTAAAAATTTCCGAAGATTCCCGGGTCGAGGTTTTAGTTGGGGAAGGGAAGAGGGACAATAACTGATTTTGTTTTTCAGTTTTTTGTGTAACGCAAGTATCATTCTATACAAAATTAAAGTACTTCGAAATCTAAATAAAAATTGTTTAATGAATTTCCTCGATAAAATCAATAATCACGGAAATATTAGGGGGACAAAATCAATGAAATTATACTTTCAGTAAAAATTGCTTCAAACGTTATAAAATCGCTATGTCCAATAGACATAATACCGATTCAAGTTTGAATTTGTTTTATTTACATTTCCAAGCATTTAAAAACATATTGTAATCAAATTCTCGTTGTTTTAATGATTTTAAGAACCAATAATAAATTATCGAGACTCAAGAAAATAAATAGAAGCAATATTAATAGTCAATTAGTCTTATATATCTTAAATACATATTATTCAATAATTTTTTTTTTTGTCCTCTCCTTTAAGGCTAGGGGTTGTGGACAGAGATTTAAAAGACTCCTTCTGGCAGCAGGACGCGAACTCGTGACTATTTTTAATCCATTGTCTCATAGATCAGATTGCCGGGCAACCCACCCACATTATTTGATAATTGTACGTTTCCACATTTTATTTAAGAGTTTTTGATATTTTTTTTTTTTTTTTTTTTTTTTTTTTGGCTTTAAGCACGTCGACCCCTTTGGGTCCATTGTGCGCCAATATTCGCTAGGTCGTCTTATTCAAAACGTTAGTCCTGTCGCTTCCGCGTATCTCAGTAGGCTGGTTGGGTTAACCGACTCAAATCTACTGGGGAGATCCATCTGTTCCTCCCCAAATAACGCCAGTCTCAGCCTTATAAACTTGTCACATCTGCATATGATGTGAAAAGCTGTTTCATTCTCCTCCTGACAGAATCTGCATATCGGATTCGTCATTACTCGGAGATTGAACATATGATTATTTAACTTACAGTGACCTGTGTAGATCGCTGTGAGTTTTTTAAGAGCTGCTCTGTCCATGTTCAGTAGCTGTTCACTTCTTTTTTTACATGGGCCTTTAAGGAACAGCTTCGAGTGTCTCTGTTTCTTGTCGGTCCAGTAATTCCTAAATTTGTTCCCATAGATCTCCCTGATCCTGCCCTTGGCAGTACTAAGGCTGATTCCACAGACAGGCTCGGGAGTTATAGGAATAGTATCTGAGCCCAACCTGGCTTGCTCATCAGCCATTTCGTTGCCCGGTATGCCAGAATGGCCTGGCACCCACTCCACTGCAACTCTGTTGTGCTCAGTTAGCTCGTTAAGTGCTCTATTGCATTCCTTAACGACCTTTGAATAAGCATAATAATTGTCAAGAGCACCTATTGCTGCCTGACTGTCAGTAAAGATGGTGATCCTTTTCTCAGTCACATTGGTTTGCAGTAGGTTTTGTACACAGTGGCAGATTGCCAGTATCTCGGATTGAAACACTGAAGCATACCTGCCAAGTGGTATAGAAATTTTTTCTTTTATATCTTTGCGATAGATGCCTGCTCCAGAGCCGAAGGCTGTTAGAGAGCCATCTGTGTAGCAATTTATTCCACTATTTGGTTTATGAATTCTGCTGCTATCTATCTCAACCTTATATTTCCGGTCCTGATGTTCTCGGATTAGAGTGTCAGAGTGCATAGCTAGCAGTCTTTCACTTCCAATCCTGTTCAGCAGTGTTGTGTGTCCTCCCTGACAGGGGACTGTTGAGCAGTAAGTTGACTTGCTTATCCTGTACAGTGTAATTGTTGCCCGAGCCTCCACCTCCAGCTGCAGCGGGGGCATGCCAAGCATCACCTCCATAGCTGCCGTCGGTGTCGTGCTCATTGCGCCTGTTATCATTATACAAGCAAGCCTTTGGATCTTTCCTAATAAGGATACATTGGCTACAGTCTTTTCTTTGTGCCACCATAGCAAAGCTGAGTAAAGTATGATAGGTCTGACTGTTGTTGTGTACAGCCAGTATACCATTTTTGGTTTTAGCCCCCAATTCTTTCCTATCGCTCTTTTACAGGCCCATAGGCATTTGAGGGCTTTACTCGTCACGTTTTGAACGTGTTTAGTCCATGTCAGTTTATGGTCCAAAGTGACTCCAAGGTGTTTTACTTCCTTACTCAGTGTCACTTGGATACCATTGATTTCCGGCATTTTAATAGCCACCTTCTTCTTCTTGGTGAAGATACACACATTGATTTTCCTAGGGTTGATGCTTAGTCCTTTAATCCTGCACCAATTCCTAAGAATATTGAACACTGTACTGAGGATATCAGAGAGGACACTCTGATGCCTCCCTCCTATGAGGATGGCAATATCGTCAGCATATCCCTGAGCATAAATGCCTGCAGTGTTTAAGGCTTCCAATAATGAGTCAGCCACAAAACACCACAGTAATGGAGAGAGCACACCTCCCTGAGGACATCCCCCACAGGGTTTAATCCACAGTTCCTTGTGCCCTATTTCTGATTTTAGAACTCTGTCCTCCAGCATTCTCCCAATCCATCTGGAGGTCATAGCGTCAATATCTTTTTTCCTTAGCGCATCATTTATGATGTTATAGGGAGTTCTATCAAAGGCACCCTCGATATCAACGAAGACGCCTATCATGATTTCACTCTGTTCTAAGGATTTCTCAATTCTTGTTACCAAGTTGTGAAGCGCCACCTCACAGGATTTTCCTGGTTGGTAGGCATATTGCTTTGAATGTATTGGACTAGTAGCCAATATGTGTTCCCTAATATGTCTGTCCAGTATCTTTTCCAATGTCTTCATTAAGAAAGATGACAGACATATTGGCCTAAATGCCTTGGGGTCTTCATAAGATTCCTTTCCTGGTTTAGGAATGTATCGCACTTTGGATATCCTCCACTTACATGGTAGATATCCCAGTGCTAGGCTACCTCTTAGAAGTTCCAGAAGGTATGGCCTTATTTCTGGGAGACCCTTCTGCAGCAGTGCTGGAAAGATCTCATCCATTCCAGCAGACTTGAAAGGAGAGAACGAATTCACTGCCCATTCAAGTCTACTGTTTGTTATCACTCTTCTTGCCTGACCCCACATACGTGCGCCAGTACCACGATCCTGTGTATTGGGGTCAAGAAGTTCATTTACTGTCGTAAAACAATTTGGGAAATGAGCTTTTGCTACCACACTCAATGTTTCTATCTCATTCGTGGTGTGCTTATCGTCATATTTGAGTGTTCCCATTATACCTGAATTGGTTTGTTTTGACAGTATTTTGTTTACCTTACATACCGCCGGCATGTTGTCCACCTCCAGACAAAACCTTTTCCAGGCTTGTCTTTTGGCTTTCCTGACAGATTTGTGATACTCAGTAAGAGATTTCCTGTATGTATCCCAATTGCCAGATTTTTTAGAAGCATTAAACAATCTCCTCATGAGTGCTCTTTGCTTTGTTAGACTATCATTCCACCAGGACACTTTCCTGTTGGTTGTAGTTTTTTTAGCTTCATTACTGGCCAAATATGCTCTAGTCATAGCATCAGTAATTGAAGTATTTAATATTTCTAATTGCCATGTATTGTGGATAACTTTGGGGCAGCATTTGACAGCCTCCTCCAAGTTAGAACTATAGGACACCCAGTTTGTTCGCTTAGGGTCTCTATATTCCACATCATGTTGTATTCTATCAGATATATCAAATCTGATATATCTGTGATCCGAGCATGTTTCTTCATCAGAGACATGCCAGTTATCTATAAGGTCACTAGTCAATTGAGTCGCTAGTGTTATGTCTATGATCTCAGTCCTAATTCTGTTACAAAAGGTAGGCTTATTCCCCCTGTTCAGAATATCAAGAATATTAAAGAACAATTAACAAATTTTCTATTCCTGTAAGTCTCATTCCCCATTTTACCCCCGAAATCTGACGATGATTTATACAATGTTTTTACTAATTTCATAAACAACAAATTAATTGAAAACCAATAGCAATAACATTACTACTTCTAAAATTAATCTTTAATGATTGATATCGAATATTGTTTCATTTTGTGTTTCTACAATTTATTATTGATTTTCAGAATTATTGTAACAAAGTGAATTTGATAAATAACTTACACCTCCATATTTTCTTCTTATTATTTTTTTAATGTTTTGTACATTTAATAATGTATTATAAAAACATTGTTTATATTATCGACTGTATTAATGACTGGGAATTAAAACATCATTAACATATATAGTTTGCCAACATTTTACGTTACTTGAGTCTTGATTGAAAAATATAAAACATATAATTTATTCCCTGCTTTGCATTTAATATAAAATTCTATATTTTTGTTATTATATTTGCTTTCATTAATTTAGATCACATTAAATTGGTTACACATTAACTTTTATAAATACTTTTTTTTTAGTTGCTTTTGTTAAAATAAAAGTGAAATCAGTCATCAGCTATTCTATTAACTTTGTAATATTAATTTGCTGTTAAATTCTTAATTATGGAGTGCTTTTTGTGTGGAAAGTCCGAATTTCGAGAAAAAGGGAGGTTATAAAGGAATTTTTAAAAGAAATATGGCTTTCGTTGATCAAACATTTCATAGGGTTAGAGCCAGCCCCTACCCCTGTTACTAACTTAAAAAAAAAATACTATTAAAAAAAACTCGAGTGGAATTAAACATTTAAAACATACATGTTAATGATACAATAATTACAATTTTCAATAAATGTTTCCTTTGACAATTTTTTCAGAGTAATCCCGAAAAATATAATCAACTTTGTAATCAATAGATATAATCTAATAGAGAATATTTAATAGTTAACCGTTGCATTATAAAGCAAGGAGATGGTCCGGGGTGTCGGTCATAAATAGGCTATTCAGCCTAAAAGCCAGGCTTTTAATAAAATAGTTTTGCCAAGATTCAGCCTATTTATGACCGACACTCCGGACCATTTCCTTACTATATAATCTAATAATTTTCTATTTCACATTTCTTTGAAATTGAATAATATTACATTCTGTCACAATTAAGGACATTAATCATTATCCATAGTGATAGAGTAGTTCATCCACTGTAAATAAAAATAAACTAAATAGCAAAACAATAATACTAAAAGTAAATGTATATAAACAAAAAAATACTAAACTAATAAAAAAAAAAACAATTTAAATATAGGCAAAGAATACAATAAAGTTGTACAATGAGAATGCAAGTTGTAGAATGATACATTTATTAATTACATATATAAAATATTTTTTTATTTATTCGATCAATGTACAGTATTGAAATAGTATTTTTTTTTTTTAATTTCCGTTGTATGTAAAGTAGAAAAAAAAAGAAGCATTTATTAATGTGAACATCAGTATGGCAACATTTGACTAATGAAATTATTACTTACTTTAAGAATGGCTGACACATAATTATTTCACTTTTATTGAACGTTTGACGGAAAATTAAAATTAAAGTTTCTCTACTTTACTTCAATTTGAACTCTTACTCATTAAATGCAAGATTCTATTCTCTACAACTTGTATTCAATATATTTTCAGCCATAATAACCGTCTATAATAATCATCTGTGCTTCGTGGCCTACAGATGAGTATAAATTTTCATGTCGTTCTAACGACATGTTGGGGTTGTAGATCATGCCAAACGTCCCAATATTTTTGTAGGACACTATGACCATTTGATTGTATTCATCTTTATTAACCATTAATATGAAAAAGAGACGGATATTCATTAATTTTCATGTCGTATTGGCGACATGTTTGGGTTGTAAGTGATGACAAATGCTCCTAAATTTTTATAGGCCACTATGACCATTTGATTGTACTCATCTTTATTAACCATTAATGTGAAAATCAGCCGGATGATCATGAATTTTCACGTTGTTCTGACGACCTGTTGGGATTGTAGGTCACGCCAAACGTCCCAATTCCGAGAATTTTTGTAGATAAAATATTTGTAGGTTACGACAAAATGAAGTCACTCACGAAGTTTTAGGTGGATGTTAATAATTTGATGAAAAGTGGCCTGTACAACAGACTATAACAAATATATTACTTTTTTTATTTATTTATTAGGATTTTTTATTAAATTTTTGTTCTTCGAAATATTGGAGAGGGGACGAGCGAAATGGTTTTCTTGCTCTCTTTCTATTTTTATTGGGTCATTTATTTAGTCAATCAATCAGTTTGACTTATTCTCCCAACTGTACTTTTCAATCAAACTTAATAAGCTTTATTTATATTGGTGCTTCGACCTCTGCTCGCCATGCTTACTCAAAAGAAATAGATAAACCTCAAACGGATTCTTTTCAATTGAGGTCGGGACCTTATCAGTCAGAGGGTTCAATCACCCTTTTCTGCATTTCAACATACTTGGATTAATTTAATAATGTGATCATTAGATCTTGTGCTCACCCATCAAACTGGAGCAATACTTGTAAATTAGTACCCAATTATATAGGCAAGTCAAAGTCATTTCTTAAATGTATTGTTTAGGAAGATTTCAAAGTCAAGTTTTTCATTCTTATAATAAGTAAAATAATACATGGAATTTTATTCAAATGATGGGTATGAATTTTTCATAGTAATAAATTCTTTCTGACCTTATTGAAGAACTTACACTTGAGCTTCAAAAATAGCAACTGGAAGTACTCCAAAACCTATTATCTTTTATCAATCAAAAAGGCCAAATATAATATATTTATTGACCATTTTCACTAATTTAAGTAAACAGTTGGAGCTTATAACCAACATTGGTTTCAATAAATGCATTGAGGAATTATATGTGATAATATTAAAATTTGACAACGAACTAACTGCATCATGGCAATAAATGATAAAATGAGTTTATAATAAAACAAGTAATTAAAATACAAACTGTGGTCCTGGAGGAGGTTTTTTGGAAGCTTTGAGCTCATTCAATATTTTACGTGTCGTTTCTGGAGTAAGATCTTCCTGAAAAAAAAAAAAATAAATATGATTATCTTTATATAACATAGTTGGATTTTGACTGAAATGAATAAAAACTAATTGACTTGATTAAATGATGGATCATAAATAATTTATTTGTCTAAAAAAAAATACTATGAGTTTTATAGAAAACCTAACTTCTTAATTCATTTATCTTTATACTAACCAATACCACCTTAGGATGAATATGACTTAATGAGAATCTGCTAATTTTAACAGTGGACCCTCAATAAAATGTGGAATGGGACACAATTTGTTTTTTATAAATCTTTCATAATTCTTATTTTCACACTAGATATAAGGGAATATATAAAGAATACATACATAGATAACTCAAGTCATAAAAATGTACTCATCACCTAATTCAATCAAAATGAGCTAGTCTTAATTGATAACACATGAACTTGGTTGAAAAAACAAAACAGGATAAAGAAAAAAACAAACTTTTTCATGAAGTAAGCTGTCAGATTACCAGATAACATTTTCACCATTCAACTTCATGTTTGAAAAACTTTCCTTTTTCAAATATCTTAATCTACATACTCAACCTCGCATGAGATTTAATTTTGGCAGACTGTAGGATGATATAGTTCAGAGACGGAAAGCAAAGAGGAATTTTTTCACAGTGGTTATCGGCTGTCAGAAAAACAACTGTCACTCAGGAAAATTATGAATGTAAAGAAAAATAGCTTAAGCTTTTTAAATAATTAATAAATGTACATAAAATTATTTTCAAATGAAAGAGGTAGTAAAAATAAATTATAAAATTAAAGATTCTTTTTTTATGATTTGAAATTTCCAATGACAACCTTCATACTTCTGAAATGACTTTTCCATTGCAAATATTTGGGAGTTTGGTCACCCAGTATTTCAGAAATATTAAGTTCTTGAAAGGGCTATGAGTTAATTAGACTAATCAGGAGTTTAGACAAGTGCAAGTTGGATTATCAAGGGTCTACTGTAAATTACATTTTTTCCAAATCCTAAAAAATAAAAGAATATATCAAGTTGACACGTATCAAGGCACATGTATATGGATTACAGTACAAATGTATCTGGATTACATTATCCTAAGGAGACAAGACTTCCAAGAATAAAATTTACTTCTATTCTTTCTTAGTTTTTTGGGACCATCGCTAACAAAATATTTAAAAACCAGACACAAGGAATTTCATTCTTCTGTTCCATAGCTTTATATTAACAATTTTTTTTTTTTTTAAACTGACATGGTATGTTTGAAACTATTTAAAGCACTTCAGCATTAACATGTTATTTATTTATCCCTCTTGGTATAAGTATGATCGTAAAATAGTTTTCGATCCTATGGGTCATAGTGTGGTATTATAAAGCATAAAACCAACCTAATAAACTGTTTATGTAATGAAAACACATTTTTTAAAATCAGAATGGTAGTTCCAGAAATTAGTGGCAAAAACCAATTATCAGCTTTATATATTAGTAGAGGTTTCACTAGCTTCCTGTAATATCATAAAAATCTTACATTCTAATTTTTTTTTTCAAGTATCCTGATGATCATTCTCCCAATGTCAACAATATATATATATTTTTTTTGTTCCTACTAATTAATAGAGAACATGTAACAGATACTTACATAGTAATCATCATTCACTTGAATCATGGGGGCATTTACACATGCACCAAGACATTCCACTTCTGATAATGTAAACATTCCATCTTTAGAAGTTTCTCCAACGCCAATTCCCAATTCAGATTTACAGCATGACAAAACTTCATCTGAACCACGTAGCCAACACGGAGTGGTCGTACAAACTTGTACATGATATTTTCCAGTTGGCTTCCTAAAAAAACAAAATAAAAACCCATTTTAGTAAATTAAAAGAATAAAGCATATTTAGTACATATTATACACAGAACTATGAAATATCTTTGTTTGAGATAAACAATGATGATATTCATTTTCCGCACATCTAAAAACCCTGAAATACGATTTTTTGTTACAATTGAAAAATATAAATTTTTTGCTCAATATTTGGCCTTCTATTCATAGCTCTTATGAGATCCACCTATGTTAATAGCTTTATCGTAGGTATTAGTAGAGCAATATATATATATTTCTATCGCAATGAAAATTTCCTCTATAATTAAGTATGCTTAACACTTGAAGGAAGTTAGTCGACTGTTCTACATATCATGGGTGATAAATATTCAGGACGCAGTCTTTTAAAGACTAAAAAGACTGTGTCCTGAATATATATCACCCATGAAAAGTATGCTTAACAGTTGTAATAGCTAGGTATAGGTATCAATGGAAAAAGAACACTGCTCTTTCTACTCACATGTTTCCAAATTCACTGAATATAAAGAGAGTGAAGAAAATAAATTGACCAGGGAAGGGAAGTCATATTTATAAAAAGTGATGTAGGAAGAGAAATCAAATCACTCGACACAATAAATAAACATAACTCTTTGAATCAGCTAATGAGCAAATTGTTCATCATAATGGAAGCCTTTTAATTATGTAATGAAAATACAAACCTCATAAACATTGTATAAAAAGTAGCGACTTCATAAACTCTCATCTTGGGAAGATCGAGAATTTCAGCAACTTTATGCATGGCTGATATAGGAAGCCAACCATGTTGCCTTTGAGCTAGATCAAGAAGAGGAATCATAGCTGCTCTTTTGTGTCCTTCTGGGTAAATAGAAAGAATGGCATCTGCTCTCTAAACAAAAAATAAAATTCTAAATAAAAGAAACAATAAGCTGTTTGGGGGCTTAGGCAAGATAGAAAACATAAGTGTAATTTCTTGACTGCGCTCTTTAATCAAATTTTCCTGATTAGATCTATGATCGATATCTAAACCATTAAGACCTTCGTACTAACTAGAGTTCTTGACAGAGCTCAGGTATCAGAGCTCTGTCACAGATATTTGTACATAGAAAATCTAGAAATATTTTCTCTGGTGCTAGAACACTCTCATAGATCACAGTCATAGTTATAGTTCTGTATATTTTTCTCAATGAAAAAATGAATAGGTTACTAGGAATAGTGGTTATTAGAAAATAACCCAGGGTTGGTTATTTCAAGTTTTCCACTTTTTGTTTAACCTGGCTAAACTTCTCTAAATGATCGATTATAGAAATAACAGGTTTACGCTTATTTGAAGATCCGTCCCCCCAAAACCTGGGTAAAAGCATAACATGAGTCCAGAAAAAATGAATTTAGCAATCTGCTGATTCTGTTAGACTGGAAGGCAGATGAGATCTTCAGCAAAATGAAAGGTAGTATAGAAGGTGCACTAAAATCAGAGGATGAAATGAGGACCTGGACATCCTTACAGATAATAAAGAAGTTTCCAAAGAACTCATTACTTTACTAGATGTTGAAACCATCTAGATTAGTACAGTGCGATTGATTCACTCTGTGTACGATGGAATACATACTGCAATGATTGCTCTGCAAGTTTTGCTGATCAGAAAGACAATCACCGAAGCAAAAGTCAGAGTAGGAATGGTCAGTCCTATCCAGGAGAAAGTTCGACTACAACATTGTTTTAGTGATTTTCAGTATCCCACCAGACACTGCCAAGGATCTTATGGTAGTCATTCAGCTATTCTTAAAATCTCATTTATATCATGTAATGAGATCCACTTGTACAATGGTACAAGATTAATATTAATATAGCAATGTTTCTTGGAAACGGTTGAGCAAGGAAGTGATTTGACCGGAACATGCTCAACCACCAGGTTTTCCCCCTTAATTATTTACTTAAGAATACCCACTTTATAGATGCTGAGTGTGCTCCAGGAGTCTACCAACCCCAGGGTCGCCCCAAGGCCAATGATGGAAATTAGGATATTGGAATTCCAGCTGGGCATTAGTTCACAAAGTCAACTCAATGATGGTTGCAGAGCACACGATTACATTGTAGATGGAATTCCAAGAGTAACCAAAAGTAGAAAGAGGTAAACAATCCTCATGACATGGATCATGCAACCACAACAGAAAAGACCCTGTCAAGTCATGATTTAATTGCAGGAAGGTACAGTCCATGAATATGGTGTCCAGTATTCAGATACTTAAAAATTTACACCTACAGTGTGATCAATGCGATCTTGGCCCAGCTGCCACATTGAAGTGACATTCGTGAAGTTATTTATTTTCACCTATTTCAAGTTACTCCAAAAAATCTGACTAGGATTTCATAATAAGGTCATTCCACTTCCCATTGGGTATGAAACTGTGCAATATATATTAGGAAAATAAAATAAATTCATATTAAAATGCTACCTTTTTGTTTTCTTCATTAAATTCAAATTTTATATCAGGGTTATCCTCAGCTGAATCTCTGTGCTACAGACACATAAAAGTAATTAAATCATTAATTAATACTGAGAACTTTAAAAAAAGTTAACATTAGTATTCTAAATACACACCACGAAAAGATTTTCAGATAATGATATGCTAGAAGTCTTTAGAGTTCTCTGAGTTACCTGAAAAATTAAATAAGTAATTGATTAAAACATCAATCTTTGGTATTAATAATTCAGTAAAATTTTAAAATGAATACCAAATTTTGTACCAATCGTCGAAGGTTTGGTAACAGGTTCATTTTGCAAAAATATATTATTGAGTTAAGATAACCTTTTTATGAGTAACCTTATTACGAGATGATAACTGAAAAACTGCCAGCTAGATTAATAGTATGTAGAAGGTTGCTGAACTGATTCTGATTAAAATATAAATATTGATTTGTAAATAATTCTTTATTTTTAACCATTATTATAATTTATTTTTTTATAATTTTTATTTTATGTATATATTTAATATTAATCTTTATTTAATATTGGAGAATATGGCTTGGCAATATCACTATGCCATCAAGGTAACAATAACTAAGGTTTCAAACTAACCCGGCACTTGGTTTAATTTGTTATTGGTAAGTTTGTAATCATATAATGTTTATTTTCTGTTTATAATTTTTATGTATTAACACTAATGCATATCATATTTTTTCTTTCTATTCAGCAATCCAATACAAAAAGTAAAAATGGCTGCTACTATGCCTATTAATCCCAAACCATTCCTTAACAGTTTAACTGGTAAGCCAGTAATGGTGAAATTAAAGTGGGGACATGAGTATAAAGGCTATTTAGTATCTGTGGATGGTTATATGAATTTACAATTGGCTAATGCTGAAGAACATATTGATGGTTCCTGCACTGGTAACTTAGGAGAAGTTCTTGTCAGATGTAATAATGTATTATATATCAGAGGTGTAGAGGAAGAAGATGAGGAAGGAGAAATGAAAGACTAGAACAGAATTATTTGAACTAAGTATTGTGTGATTTTTTAATGATCACATCACTATTTATTTTGTTAGACCTATTCTGTATTTTTTTTTATCCCAAAATTATCTTGTATGCAATTTACACAGGTTAATAAATAATTTGAATTGTCAATTTGTTTGCTTACATTTACGATGTACGTTAAATAAATATATTTTTTATATTAAATACTTCAACAGTTTATTTAAGGAGCAAATTTGTATCCACATTTTGTAATATCTATTTTTTTTATCAAGATATTGGCATATTTTACAAAAATCATAATCTATATTTACTGAAAATTTTTGAAGGAAGTTAGTCGACTGTTTTACATATCATGGGTGATTATTATTCAGGACGCAATCATTATAAGGTTTTTATTAGTGCTGACGTTTCAACCCAACTTGTGGGTCATCATCAGGGCTGAAAATTTTTAGTTACAATCAGAGATATAATATACGACTAATAATGTAAAAATATAGTGATTGACGGTAGATAAATCTTAACTAATATTACAAATGAAATATGTAGAAAGTTTTACAAACTAAACATAATGTATACAATTCATTTATAAAAATTGTAATATTTTCTATTACGTGCTCTACAAATTTTCTCATGGTTCGAGCCCTGCAGATATTCAAGTACTAACACATTTGGTAGGTATGTGTGAGGGGTCAGAGGAGGATTTCCCAGTTGTCCTTTTTCCGATAGAGAAGGTGGGTAAACATAGTCTGAGGGGAGAGGGAGGTAAAATTTCTGTTTGTACATTAATTACATTACATTAAGGATTACATAGTTTTATTAGTGTAAGTAGAAACATATCTGTGCCTGTTCATTGTATATATTTATACTGAGAATGGACATTATATGTATTTATATATAATAAGTGTAGGAGTAGTTACCTATGTAAGTTAATGGGGAAAATGAAAAAATAAATTTTTAATTATTATAGAGTATTGTTTTAAGAGGTGGAAAATATTCGAATAGGTGTTGCAGATCTTTTCTTTATCTACTTTGTGGTTTACCGGTTTATTTTTTTCCAAATTAATGAATATAGCTTCTGAAAGTAGTCATTTTTGGAGATAAGGAACTGTGACAAGTATGGTTGGGTTTTTAAAATAAAATGTTGAGGGTTATGGTATGTTGGGCTAGTGTAATGTTCTAATAACTGTCCTTTCAATTTTTGTACATGCACTAAATTCCCAAAAAAATTCAGGAAAAAAGTTATAAAGAAAAGAAAAATGTTTTGGGGCCTTACTCGCTAAGTATATATTTATGGTAAGATTTATAAGAAAATTTTTTAAAGGTAAGTAACTTATCAACAAAACAAAAAAAAAAAATCATTGAAATCGAATTAGTATTAGCGATAATACAACATATTCTATTTTCTTCACATGTTTTAATTTATTACTTTCCTACCTATACTAAGTAAAGAAAGTATTGTGATCGGGTCAAATCTCCGATATGCGGTTTTCGACGGATCTATTAGTTTCAGAGCCTCCTGAGTCAGAAAAACATATTTTTAGCCATAGGTCTTTCTGTCTGTCTGTGCCAAGATTTTCTCGGAAACTACTGAACCGATTTTGTTGCTTCTTTTTTTATTTTTTAGGTTTTTGACTACTAATGCCTGTGACAGAAATTAGGTGCTCCATGCGCAATATATAGCTGCTACGCAATAAATTAAAAACATGTTTTTCTATAGCCTGCAGCGCGAAAACAGCTCTAACGATTTTGATAAAACTTTCCTATAATGTTCTAATAATTGTCCTTTCAATTTTCGTACACGGACTAAATTCCCAAAAAAATTCAGGAAAAAAAGTTATAAAAAAAAGAAAATTTTTTTGGGGCCTAACTTGCTAAGTATATATTCTATGGTAAAATTTATAAGAAAACTTCTGAAAGGTAATTAAATTACTAACAAAACAAAAAAAAATATCATCGGAATGGAACCAGTATTAGCGATGATACAGCGTATTACTATTTTCTTTCTATTACTTTCCTACCTATACTAGTTAAGGAAATTATTGCGATCGGGTCAAATTTCCGGTATCTTTATTCCGATAGTTTTCGACAGATCTATATGTTTCAGAGCCCCCTGAGTTTTTTCACAGTTTAACACCGTTAAGCCTGTTATTTTGAAAGGTAGTGAAATTCCCTACAAAGCTATATAAAAATCGTTCATTTCGGACAACTATTAACAAAGTTGCAGCTATTCAATTTCCAATGTAAGATTACGGGTACATATCCTTGTGTCAGAAAGGGATGAATGTGAGAAAAAATATAACTTAGTGAAAGTAAGAAAATCTGTTGCCTGCATCACACAAGCTTTACTATTAGCTCTACTTTTAACAGAAATTATTCTTTGAAAAAATTAGGCTATGGCGAAAAGTTTTTGATCAATATTATTAGAAAGTATTGAAATTTTTACACTGATCTACATTAAGCCGGTTTACATTGCTTTGGTTTATCAAATAAATTGTGCTGAAATCTTTTCTTTGATCAATTTTCAGGAAGATAAATATAATTCAATTTTTTTGTTTCTTGATGGACATATGTAAAGATATAAAAACTTTTCTGAAATAGGTAGGAAAGTCGTGTGAGTGGACACTCCAGATTTTTTATTATGCGATCAGGAAAGGCATTGGATTTCAGAATTTTGTGTAGTTTAGTTGGGTTATTGTCATGGAATTGCCAGTCGGTTAATGTTAAGATTCATGTATCATCAATCACTATATTTTTTTCATTATTAACCATTATTAGTTGTATAATATTGTATCTCTGATTGTATGACAAAATTTTCAGACCTGATGATGGCCCACATGTTTGGGTTGAAACATTGGTACTAATAAAAACCTTATAATGACTGCTTCCTGAATATTTATCACCCATTACTGAAAATTTGTTAAATGATGGTTTATACTCATTAAATTCTATTGGTTTATTAAATATAAAAAACTATTACTTCAGACTTAAGAACTCTGCAATGCTGTAAGTTAATAATTGAGTTTTATTATATTTTTTTGTTTGGTGGGGAAATTTTTCTATCTGTAAAGTTAGTATTTTCTTAATTTATAGATTTCGTTTTTCCATTTATTTTAAGTGCTGCGTGCAGTTGAGCAATACTTTAGTGGAAAAGAAAAGAACATATTTTATTGGCAGTCTATGAATGATATATCATATCACAGAAGAGTTTTGATGATAACTTTCATTTTGTTACGCTTCATTTCCTTTTCATCAACATGAACAAACCATAATAAGCAAATCATTTGGTAGCAGTCAGTTTTATAAGCTTGAAATAACCATGTATCTTACAGAGGAATTCCAATATACCTAACATTAAAATAATCTCAAGTAAATACTCAAATCTGAACACAAAAAAAAAATTTGTCTTTTTCAATTAAGTACTGATTATCTAATTATAAAATATTATCTGTTATAATTTCAATACAAATATATCATCGGTTTATTGCTTAAAGTCACTAAGTATTTTTGTCGACCGAATTTGTCAATACATAAATATACTAACAACTATAGAACAACAAAAACTTTTTACATATCAAACATAATTACACCAACTGAAATATTTTTTGATTTTCCAGAGGAAAAATTCAGTCCAGTGCTTAGGGATTTAATTTTATGGAATGTTACTTTGCTATTGTTGTTGGTTTTGCTATAAACTGATGATATGATGTTTATTCCTAAAATGATCGTACTATTAATTAGTTATCAATTTTAAATCAGAGATACTCTATCAATTCTTAAAATGATATTTCTCCATATTCTATCTATCGTGAGGATAATATTCTCTGTTCAAAATATTACCAGAAACCATCATTTTGTTGCTGGTAGGCAGGCTGGTTAAATTTTTTTTAGTACAGACAACATAACCTCATAATCCAACTGTTACTGGGAGAAGTTTCAGCAAAATAAACAAGCATAGATTTTTGTAGCCAAGGAATGGGGGTCACTGCTATGTCCAGTACCAGCGAAGTAGTGTTTTAGTTGATATAAATTTATTAATTCAATATATTTTAAAATCAGCTATTCAAAAATATTTTTTTTGTTATTAAAAAATTCTTGATTTATTTACTTTAAAAGTTGCACACAACTATTATAAAGCCACATTTAGACATTTAGTGACCAATTTAAAACACAAAAGTGTAAAAGAGGTTGTTCATTCTAGGTAAAAGGTCTCCAAATTATAGCCGGCAAGCACTTCATAACTGAAGTGTCATTCATAGAACAATTTTTTTTTTTTTTTTCATCTCTATGGTATAGCTTCTAGAGCTATGGCAGGGCTTAGCGGAGGTCTCAATGTGGCCAGAGGGGAAAAACATTTGGAGACTCCTGTTCTAGGTTAGTGTCTGTAACCATTTTGGCTGTTGTCATATTTCCAAGACAAATTAAAAGGAATTTGGTTCAAAGTGGTATCTTTCATTTGTTATTGAGTGTTATTTAAGAGCATTAACTGCTGTTGAATTTAATCATTACTTGGTGTGAGGCATTAATCCCCTGGCCTAGGAAAATACCCTTATAGGTTAAAACAAACCCAAAAAGGTTAAGAAAAAAAAATGGTGTGATTTAGATCAATTTTCTTCATCCACTATCTCCTTTGACAAAGTATACATCTCCTTTTGTTTCTCCTTAGAATAGGATTATGATAGGACGAATGTGATCAATGATAAAATTTTTATGTCCACCATGTTTATTTCTCTGAAACTATAGAAGCATGTAACACGCTGTGTTGTGGGTCTTATTTTATTTTATTTATATTTATTCTCTTTGCATTTTTGTGTTTTGGAAACAAATAAAGCACCTTAAGACATGTAACCATCTATTAATATGGAGACAAAAAATATTTTAGAATTAAATTTTTTTTAATTGATCTAAGATAATAGGCAAATTTATATGAAGTAGTATACCTAATAGCCCTGTGAGATTGTAAATAGATGTTCTAATTTTTCCTACATTTGTGAACCTTGCAACTCTGATCACTTTCAAAATAAATTATCCCCCAAGAAAAATGCTCCTTCATTTGTTTAGTTTATCTTTCATGCTCTTTCAAATGCTCCTTCATTTGTTTAGTTTATCTTTCCTGTGTAGTTTATATAACTGTATAGGAAGACATTCAAATCTCTGTTCCTGTTATATAAATAGCCATTATAATATGATTTATTTAATGAAATCAAGTATTCCTCA